TGTTTTCCTTCAAAAGCTTATTCATAAGCTTATTTTTTCAGGCACTGAGCAATTGTTAATGTATGGCTTCCCAATACCCTTTCCATGTATCTATAATGTCAAAATTATTTTCTTAAAGACACTAAAATGTTTTGTGAGTTGTTCTCACAATTCTTATTATCTCATGAGTGAAAATTTTCTTGAGACCCCCATGGCACGTAATGATGTTTTTGTGTATTCTTATGTTTTCAACACCTTTCTGAGGTAGTGGAGGACTTCTACTGTACTTTTAGATGCTTTCTTGTCTGATATACAATCTATAGCCTCTTGTTGTTGTGTGCCATTGAGTCAGAGGCAGTAAATCACACAGGATAGCCTCTTATCATTCAATAATACATCATTATTTGAAATCCGCACAGTTGTTCTTACATGGAAAATTTTCTTATGCATTATGTGGAAATACAATAGGAATTAAGTATACTTTGAAATATTCCTTTGCAATAGTCAAATAATTTATTTTATTTATGTTCTTATTTGATACATTATCTATTTATCTATCTTTAGGTCTTAGACTAAGAGAGTTTGAGAATCAGTGCCTTAGAATATAGCTATCTGTCCTGGAGGTCATATTTCTTGACTAGTTTCTTATGTCTGCCAGACAATGATAATAAATGGTAGTATTATCAGTAATAATAGTGGTACTGACCAATGAAACCAAGCACTGGGCTAGGTGATACACACGTGTGTGTGTGTGTGTGTGTGTGTGTGTGTGTGTGTGTTGTGTATGTATCCTGGCTTAATGCTTAGCCTTATGACATACACACTTTATTATCGATATATGTTTTATACAAATAAATTAATAATATATGTTATATATATAATTATATTATAAATAATATGTTTAATAGTATTTCTATATATAAAGAATATGTTTTAAATGTTAATTATATGTTAATAGTAGCATCCATTTCCTAAACAATATGCCTCTGGAAAATGAGCTTTGGCAAAAGATGTTAGTTATAGAGGGGCTTCGGGCCTTTTGTTCATAGGGTTGCTATGAGTCATGCTCAACTTGATGGCAATCAACAACAACAACAACAATATATTTATTAACATAATATATTTATTATACATAGGGAGTGCTGGTGGTCCTAGTGGTAAGAAGCTGTGCTGCAATTCTGAACACATACAGTTTGAATCCACCAGCTGCTCTGTGGAAAAGGATGGGCAACCTCCTCCCGTGAGATTTTTCCCTGAAAATCCACTGGAGGGTCAGCTAGGGGTCAGTTCTGACTCAACAATACTCAACAATGACAACATATATAATAAATATAATAGGTTATAATATGTTATATATTTTATAATGTGTTATATATTATAATCAGACTTGAATGATTGGTAGAAAAAGATGCAGAAGCACAATTAATACCCATGAAAGTTGTTCATAGACCCCAGTCTCACGGATGATCCATTCTGAATATAGACTGAGAAGGTATGAGACAGGATGTATTCCTGTCATACTCCTTTTCTGATTTTGAACCATTAAGATTTCCTTGCTCTGTTCTGATGACTGCCTCCTTGTTCAAGTACAGATTTCACATAAGCACAATCAAGTGTTCTACAATTCCCTTTCTTCTCAGAGTTAGCTCATGAAAGTAACAGCCAAGAAATCAAAAGATACACTATATTGAACAAATATGTTGCAAAAGACTTCTTGAAAGGATTAAAAAAAATAAAGATGACCACTTTAAGGACTAAAGTATTGTTGAAGTAAGCCTTGGTATTTTCTTTTTTACTACGGTACATTTATTATTCCCTTCTCTTTCCTTAGTATTTTCAATCAAATTGCCATGATATTTTCAATTGCCACACATGCTTGTGAAAGTGGGACAAAGAATCGGAAAGCTAAAGAAGTCCTGATACCTTTGAGTCTTGTTGAAGAACACTGATTATGCCTGAAATTACCAGAAAGAAGAAAACAACAACAACAAAAAAATCTCTCTTGGGAGAAGGGTAGCCAGAATGTTCTTGGAGATCAAACTTCCAGCACCTGTTATCAGGAGGAAGTCTTTGGAGAAGGACATCACACTTGGAGAACAGATGGTCAGTGAACTAGAGGTGGATCCTCAATGAGATGAATCACTACAGGTTGTGAGGATGGTGCAGAACTGGGCAGTGTTTTCCTCTGCTGTACACGGGGTCACTATAAGTCATAACTGACGGGACCACACCTAAAGGCAACAATGTCAAGAGTAATCTAACTTTAAGTGCTCGATTTCCATTTTGATAACTTCTAGTTTTCCTACATTCATTCTTGATACATTCTACATTCCAATTATTAAGAGATGGTGCAGTTGTTCGTTCTCATTTTAAGTCAAGCCACATCTGAAAATGAAGGTCTTTGAAAGCTCTTATCCCTCACATTTTTGAGGCAGAGTTTGAGGAAGCAGCTCTTCCTCACTCATATTTTGAGTGCTTACCAGCCTGGGATGTGTCATTTCTCTATATATTTTCAACCTTTATGCAGAACAGATTATCCGGGAGGCAGGGCTCTAAAAGAAGTGTGGCATCAGGATCAGAGATAGACTCATCACTAATCTGCATTATGCAGATGACACAACCCTGCTTGCTGAAACGGAGGAGGATTAGAAGTGTTTGCTGCAGAAGGTCAAGGACCGCAGCCTTAAATATGGATTGAGGCTCAACATCAAGAAAACAAAGATTCTAACCACTGGGCCAATTGGGAGCATCGTGATATATGGTGAAGAGATTGAGATTGTTCACAGCTTCAGTTTGCTTGCCTCCACAGTCAATACTTTTGGCACCAGAAGCCAGGAAATTTAAAAATTAATTATATTGGGAAAGTCTGCTGTCAGAGACCTCTCCAAAGTACTGAAGAGCAACAATGTCAGTCTGGAGACTAACGTGAGCCTAATATAGGTCATGGTCTTTGCAATTACTTGCTATGCATCAGAGAGCTGGACAATGACTAGGGATGATAGAAGGAGAATTGGTGTCTTTGAGCTATGGTGCTGGAGAAGAATATTGAATATACCATGGACTGCAAGGAGAACAAACAAGTTTGTCCTGGAGAGCGTGAGACCAAGCCTCTCCTTGGAGGCAAGGATTCTGAAGCTTTGTCCGACATACTTTGGACACGTTGCAAGGCAGGATCAGTCACTGGAGAGGGACGTCATGCTTGGGAGGGTGGAAGGACAGCGCAGGAGAGGAAGACCCTCGATGGGATGGATTCATTCTGTCAATGGGTTACTGGGGATAGGTGTGTCAGAGACAATAAGATTGGCAAGGGATAGAGAGCAGGGTTTACGGTCGTTGAACATAGGGTCATTATGAGTCACAGATGACTTGACGGCACATAACAGCAACAACAACAACAAGAAGCAGCCTGAGGGGCTCACTTAGCTTTGTATCAGACAACATTCTATGGCCATTCATAAATAAGGTCTGGTTTGTAATTGCCATTTTTAAAAAGAAGTAGATGGCCAAACCACCCTTTTATCTATCTTAGTCTATAAATCATTGAAAACTCTTCATTGAGGGTGACTGCTAGTATTTGAAATACTGGTAGTATAGCATTAAAGCAACATGCAAACTATAAGAATCTATATATATCTTTATTTGGGGAAATTCAGACCTTAACCCTACATGGTAATGCTACTGGTAAGGTTTTTTTTTTAAACTTTTATTAATTTTAATGAAGGTTTAGAGAGATTTTGGATTTCCATTCATTCATTTTTCATTGCATTTTTCTCCCTGCCCACCCCTCCCCCCCAGTTCGCTCTTTTCTTTGAAAAATAAAAGAAAAATTCTTTCATTGGTATACAACCCTCCCCCGCCCCCAACACACACACTCCACTCCACTATGAAGTCTTCATTCTGGACTCTTGTCATAACCATAATACCCAATCACATATCACTTTTAAACTGTTCTCTCCCTCATCTATTTCAATGTAGTCTACATAATTTATCCATTTTTTCTCAGTCTCACCCCAATCCTGATGTCAGTCCTATTCTACAACAGTGGCACTTTGCAGTATTTGTCCTCTTGTGACTGATATATTTCACTCAGCATCTTTCTCTACATGTTAGAGATTCCAGTTAAGGAGAATCATTTACCTTCACAAAGACACAGAAGTCTTGGCACTCAAAAGTTGATCTGGCAATGTGGTACATGTAAATGTTACTGCTGAACAGGCATTGCGGGGGCGTGAGGTAGAGGGCGCAGGATGCTGTAGAGAGGCGGTACAGGGAAGATCTCCAGCCTCAGCCACTCCAGTATCAAGGTGGCGACCCCAGGAGGGAATACGGGCAAGTCTATGAGGCAATTTAAACTCCACCCCTTCATTAGTAAATTGAAACCGGAGATAATGATATTCATGTCACTTCATTTGTCAAGACAAATAAAACCTGTTGAGACAGCACCAGTTGAGACAAGCACCAGTGGCTGAAGCATACTCACACACCTGCTTCTTAAAACAGTCTCTCAGCCTGCACTACCCCCATGCCCAGCCTGTGCTTTCCAAAGTTCGAGCACAAAGGTTTCCAAAATTAAGCCTTATTATTTACCTCTGCAAATCACCCTGACGGGGTCAACCTTTCTCTTATCCCCTTTCCACCCAATCACCCAGAGCTGTCGCCGTGCACCTATTTCTAATACCACTAAAGTCACGGACAGGTCTAATGATGAACCAAGTTAACATTACCCAGCCAAGAGGAAGAATGGGAACACCCAAGGCGTGTTCCTCAAAGCCCAGGAGTGCTAAAATGACACAGGTTTGGCCAAAGGAAGTAGAGAAGCTTCAGCTGGATTATGCAGACATCCTGCGTCTAAGTGTCTCTTGCTCTAACTTGTTCCTGTGACTTGTTCTCATCTTGTTCAACACATTGGGTTTTAGCTCAGCGCTGTAGAGGGAATCCAACTGCAAAGTGCAGTAACTGACTCCCGGCTCCCGCCAACCACCCCCCAGACACCCCCCACCTCCAGCCCCCACGCGACTCACAATCAAAGGCAGAGTGCACAAGGTGAAGAGCACGGTCATGAGGGCAAGCAGCAGGAGGTGATCCAGCTCCTCCAGGGGATGCGAGGAGCCTCCGTCCAGCTCTGCGCGGTCCCTGGTGCTGGAGCGCGGGAGCCCGCGCAGGCGCCGGCGCATGTTGTAGAGATTGCGCATGGCGCTCAGGTTGCACAGCACGGTGGCCAGGACCAGCAGCGCCATGAGGGTGGCGTAGAGCACCGAGTAGCCCAGAACCGACAGCGAGCCCTCCTCGTGGACCATCTGGATGAAGCACCACGTGCCGGGGCAGTACTGTACGAACTCCCCAAAGCCGGCGAAGGGCAGGGCGCAGAAAGCCAGGCAGAAAGCGCTCACGACGGGCGCCACCAGAGCGCCCCGGCGCAAAGTGATGTGGCGTCGGTAGAAGAAGGGGTGTCCCAGCGAGAGCCAGCACTCCAGGGCCATGGCCAGGAGCTGCAGCACTGAAGCGAGGCCGAAGAAGGTCATGAAGAAGGCGAAGGTGTGACACAGCGCGCTGCCGGAGCCAGGCACCAGCGCTGTCAGACTTCGGTTTTGAGCGTAGGCGGCGAGCACGATGGAGCTGAGCAGACACTTGCCCAGCAGGTCGGTAACCGTCAAGCCACACACCAGCACGTAGAAGACCGACGGCGGCGGGCGCGGAGGGTGCAACCCCAGCCCCGAGCGCGCCAGCAGCCCCAGGGCCAGGAGGTTGCCCACCAGGCCGGTGCTGAAGAGGAGCCCACTCATGGTCGCCGAGTTGCCCTTCTCCACCGAGGTAGTATTGTGACAGCGGTAGAGCGACGACTTCATGGTGGCTGCGGGTGGGCAAGGGCCGCGCGCCAGAATGCGGAGGAGGAGCCCCCGGCTGCTCTCGGTGTGTGCCTTCTCGGTGTGTGCCTCAAAGCTGACCTGCTGCGTCTCAGGGGAAGCTCAGCGGGGCGGTGGGGGTGTTCCCCACAGCCAGCGCCTCCTATCTCAATTCCTGGGTCACACCCCTTCCAGAGGGGCGGTACACGCGGCTGGCGGGGTGCGCATCAGTACTGGCCTTGTGGGGTGCCAGGAGAGAAGAGCTCAGCACTGAAGCACAGGGTCCTGAGGAAACAGAACTCTATATCCAGATTTGGAAGAATGAAAAGACCATAGCTCCAACTCTCAAGGCCAGGCAGTTCTTCCAGACAAGAACTATGGATATGGAAAGGAAACAGCAGCCCCTGGGGAAGATGGACGATAGGAAGAGCCCAACCTGCAACTCAGGACCAGAACAGTATTGCTGAGAAGGGATATGTTTTATTGAATTAGTGTTTTAAGGACAGGTAAAAGTAACTACTTAAAAAGTAACTACTGTGTATTACTTAATCCTAGTTCATTAGCAATATGAGCATCATCGGGCATAGAAAATACTCTCCTCCTTTGCATAGATTGCAAGCTGAGACCTTGGAAGGTTGAGCTACATATTCCAGGAGGCAGAACTGGTAAGAACAGAACTAGACCCGCAATTTCATTTTTTATAAAGTCCATCTGTCTTACTTTCATGACGCCATCTCCCTGGAATTTGGCCAGATTTCAGGGAAGTGGTTCCAGGAAAGACCAAGAGGGGAAGTTGTCTCTGCATACCACAAATCGTAGTGCTATGTTATGGACATGGAATGCCATATTTTGGAATCACACTGTGGTTAAGGGCAGACTTCGTCATCAGCTAGACCTAAATCCCAAGGTTTTTTCCCTACATTTTACTCACAGCCTGTGTGACTGGGAGAGATTTGCCTTCCTTCTCAAGAAGCACTATCTAGCTGCTTAGCTTCTCAAGAGGCAGCATATATCAGGAGGCCTGCGTGCTCATGTATCAGAAGGCCCTCCTGAGGCATCAAGATAGCACAAGTGTAACTACAGTCATCGAGTATAGTATAGTATATAGTATATAGTATATAGTATATAGTATATAGTATATAGTATATAGTATATAGTATATAGTATATAGTATATAGT